CTGCAACTAAAATTTCTACCCTGTTTTCGAATACTGTCAAGGTGGAAGACAAGATTATGGTAATGTTTGTACTAGAAATTCCTAGATACGTCAGCCAAACATGTGATGAGGTGTGGTCTTCACTGAAATAGCTGTACCAGCAGAAGCTCGCTTAGTAGATGTTATTCTGGAAAAAATGCACATTTCCTAGTATAGCTTGTTCTACTGGAGAGGTGGCTGATGGAGGAAAGTAAAGGCACAACTTGTTGGTTTAAGCTGCATCCACACAAGGAGTGTTTTGTCAGTAAAGTGGTATCCCTGTACTGGGGAAGGGGCAGTGGAAAGGGAAAACGCTCCTAGTGTAGACACTGCCTAAACTGTAATTGTGGGAACTTCCACAATGAAAGCTTAGTCTACTATGCTAGGAGGATTTGCTAAACTATACTGGGAAAACTTTTTTAAAAGCTGAAGAATTGGCTTATACCAAAAAAAGTGCTTTTGTTGATATAGCTCCTTCTAGTGCCCTAAAATGGCAAAAAGCACGTTTGTGCTGCTGGAACTGTATCTAAACCAGAGATTTTGCTGGAAAAGAAACATCATAAAACCAAATCTCTGACAAACATTACTACACCAGAAAAGTTTCTGGCCTAAATAACAATTTGAAGTACATTTCTAGAACTATGAAAACAGGAATATTCATTATGTGTAGGGTATGCAAGCACATTGCATAGCATGCTGGTTATTAATGTTGCATATTTGTTAACTTAGCACAACTCTCAAATGCAAGTCATCTTTGCAAGGTGACTGTACCCTCTGATACACACATGCATCATCAGAACATGCATCATCAGAACATAGACACACAGGAAGCTAAGCATTTGTGGAAATACCAGCAACTTTCATACAAGCCATTCAATCCAGATATTAATATCCTAAGTAAAGCAAGTTCAGCTTCACATTCCTTATGCTTGCTCTTGAAGAGCTCCTGACCAAGTATGGTTTGACCTCAAGGGAGCAATTTGTAGCCCTATGAACAAACTGGTTTGGCCAGTCAGCTGTACTGCTGCCTAAAACTGGCATATCACAAAGAATTCAGTAAACCTTACCATACAAATGAAAAAACCAGCCCTCAGGAACATCACAGCACTATGGGGCACTCCCTGAAAGACTCTCTAAATTAACAAGCAATTACAATGGACTGCTTGGATTGTGAAGTCTCTGAGGTAGGGACCTTGTTTTCTTACTTGTTTGTAAAGCTTGTAATATATACCCATAATGCAATAAACATACTAGCATTTACTGCTTTCATCTCTGGGTATAGTTTATTCATCTCAAACAGACACATTTAACTTTAGAGCCTCATCTTACCAACAACACCTTTCCCCCCATAAGGTCCATCTCTACCCAACTTTCTCCCCATGAAAAAGATCAAATCTTTACCAAAAGTATAAAAAAGCAAGGGTTGAACTGAGTGTACATTTCCTGAACTTTTACTGCTATATCTCTCCTTCCTTGTATAGCAGAAATTTACCTTGAAAGCACAGAAGTTTTCATACTAACATGAGTGTAAGATGTTTTATTTGTACCTAAGGCACTTACGTAAGGGCTGGTCCCCAAACAGTTTTTGACCAAAACAAGCTACACCACTGTAAACTCTTCATATGGTATCACTGTATCCACACTAAAAGATTGCACCAATTTAACAATTTCAGCTTCCTAACTAATGCAATTAAAATATTACCTAGCAGGTAATGAACCCCAACATGCTGGACACAATGGGAAACCAAAACAGGGCTTCTACAATTCATGACTACCAAACATTTCCCCTTACACATCCCCAAAGTACAATGTTGGGATGCTCCGAATTACTGTATGGTGCAGGGTGGTTAAAAATTAATTAATTTAAAAAATAAAACATCCGAAATAAATCAGTTTTTTTTATTTAATCATATTTTTTATTTCTTTTTGTTAAGCTACTTTTAAAAAAACAAACTGACATAAAGATAGTTTTAAGATATGTTAAAGCTCAAAGATATCATCATGGAATAGGGATTGTAACTTCTAATTATGCACTATTTGAGACAATATATTCACGTAACCTTTTCATAAGTTTAGGTTACAACAAGCATGGACTATATTAGGGGCCCAACCATGTGGCTCCTATATAGATTAGTAAAAATTAAAGAAAACCATTCTACCCAATGGGACTCAGTGCTCAGTCTGGATTCTAGACTCTAGTCTAGACCAGTGGTCTCTGAAGTGCAGTGCGCACGCCCCGGGGGTGCGCAAGATGATCCACTGGGGTGCGGGAAGAAAATATTAGAACTTCTATTTATATAAATATACATATATTGGGGGTGCGTGCTCAAAAATTTTTTACTGATAGGGGTGCGTGATCAAAAGAGTTTGGAGACCACTGGTCTAGACGTTCCCATTAAGCATCTCTGTGATGCTTAGTTTCAGTTCTCAAACTGTGGATTTGTGTCTCCAGAGATCATAGGCAGACAAGGTTCTTTGGGCAGATGTGATATCTTTTATTAGACCAACTAAGTAGTTGGAAAAATTGTTCTTTCCAAACTTTTGGGCACAACTGCCCTTCTTCAGGCATACGGGAGAGTTTGTCGTCTCCAGAGATAACATCCTTGTTAACAGCAGTATATAGAGATGAGAGATAACAAACCTGGTTACCTACCCATCAGCCCTCTTATCTCTCTGCAAGTGTGTATACACACAGTCAGACCCTTACCTTTCTCAAAAAGTGCAAAGTTTCAAGAAGTTCAATTAATAAAGGATATCAAACAACAAGAATGTACTTTTTGTAGAAAACAATGATTAAATTGAGGCTTCTGATCCATGATTTAAATTGTGTTTTAAATCATGATTTAAATTGATTTGATTTAAGTCAAATCCACCCTACTACAGTGCACAGTAAAACAGCCAAAAACAGAAAATAAAAACTTCCGGCATAAAACTGATGATACAAGAGAGTGAAAAGCACTTTATTTGAATTGTGCTACCACTGAACAGTTATGCTCCAAGTTACCATTGATCAACTTCCCTAGACAGTAAATAGTGTTCCTGTTGTCACCCAGCAGCTTCTGATCTCAGCCATGCATTAGGGAAAGACCAAATTAATTTTATTGTGATAATTTCGGTTTATACTATTGTGTCCAAGCTATAGACTAATCCTAATCAATCCATAAAAGCCTTCAAGAACCACATATTGCTTGGTTTTAGAACATGCACAATTACAGCTTGTTTTTTAAAGCACAGCAGCATCACAAAGTATTTAGTTTTTTTCTCGGCCATGTTTAAGGGTTTTTTTCTTCAAACATTTTGGAAAAAGATAAAAACTATTATTAAAAGTGATCTCCATGATCAAAACAAATTTAAGTCTTGTCCATTTTCAGTAATTTTCTAACAAACACTGTATTAGCATCCTTTTTTGAGACAACAGCTCTTTGTATGTAGTGATGTTCAAATAAAACTGTTAACAGGTTTAGTTTCAAGTATTTCCAACTGAAAACATATGTCCAAAAAAAGTTTATTGTAATACTTCATCATTTTCTACTGCTGGGCAGGTTCATGACAATGCAACTGCATTTTGCATTTCAGGGTCCATGGGTTCAAAACACCAACAGGATTTTACGGAGGTAAGTTTGGGAGTCTTAAAGAACATCAGTTCAACCTTCCTCTGACAACTAAGAATTAACATTTGGAGTTGTTATTTTATAATTCTCAAGGCAGGCAGGATTCCTGAATTACTAATTTCAATGGTAGTTTTATCATTTACTTCAACAGCAGCGCAAACAAGCACTTTCCTGCTAATCTTTGGTGATTGTACATTACAATGAAAAATGAACTGCGCCAACAGGACATCCAAAAAAGTATTGCCTTTTAACAACCTTGGGTCTTGATCTCTTTCAGACTCAAAGAGCTATTGCCAAACCAAGCACATTGAGAATAAATCCTGCTGGTCCCCATTTCCTTACTGCCAACCCTTTATTATCATAAGACAAGTACTACCTGATTTTTGCAAGCTTGCTTTAAACAGCATGTAAGCTATAGTGTTTCTCCATAGGGAGATATATATCCCATAGGGTTTCTACAGCTCAGATAAGAGTCGTCTCTGGGCCACAGTGCAGAGACCACTTACTCCATTTAAAAAAAAAAAAGTTGAGGGGGGAAAACAGGAGAAAAAAGGGGGAAGATAACCTGCCCTTGTTATATCCACAGCAGATACGAACTCACTCCTGAGTGATTCCAATGGGGCAACTAGTTCTTCAAAAAAGGTGGGGTTCTCCTTTGCAAGATGGTTTTACCCGCACAAGATGCAGACCCCCTTATGCCCAGCTCCCACATCAGACCTTATAAAAACCACAAGTGGCCCCTTCCCCCCCCTTCCCGGCTTTTTCCTTAAAAAAAAAAAAAAAAAAAAAAGTTTTATTTTTGTTTTTTTAAGTGCCTGGCAGATGGCCAAGATAAAGACGCCTCTGCCTGGAACTGAAGCTGCTCTGCCTGCTCTTACAAAAGAGCCAGCCGGACCAGCCGGGGACTCTCTTCCGCCCCCCGCCTTGAAACCGGTTCCCCATGGAAGCCCCAGCCCCTGTCACAACCACCCGGGCCGCTGAGGGACACGCACACACACGCGCCCAGCTGACAGCCCGCCAGAGACGCGCGGCTCATTCATAAAGCCAGCCGGCGCGCGTAGCGCTCGCCCCTCACGCGCGGGACAGAGCGGCCCGCGGCCGGGAGCAGAACGCGGCCGAGGTTCCAAGAGGAGGGGACAGAACGCACTGAGCGTTCCGCGGCGAAGGCACACAACTCAGCGAGGGTTCCAACAGGGCTCGGAATAGAACGTCGCGAGCATTCCGCGGGGGGGGGGATACAACGTCGCGAGCGTTCCAAGCGGGGGCAGAACTTAGCGAGGGTTCCACAGGGGAACAGGAATGGGGGGTCCCGCCTGGGGGGGCCTCGAGCCACAGGAGCGGGGGGAGCCCGCGGCTGGGGGCTGCACGCACCTTTCTTCTCCTCCACGGCGGAGCACGGCCCGAGCAGCAGCAGGAGCAGGACAGCGGCTGCCCCGGCCCGGCCGGCTGCCGCTCCCGCG